GATAGATTAACTGCAGAGTTTTTACCAGCAAAATGGCTTTTCTCCTATTAATGTCATGTGGAAAGTCACAAGTGAAACTCCTGAGTCTAACGAAAAGGCTGTGTGCTGTTTTCATCATTGAGTTTGTATTTAATTTGAGAGAATTTCATTCTTTGGAGTGTACTGCATGAAACAGAGCACTGGGTGTTGAGGTATGTGTTACCATTCCTGCCACACTTGGCAAACTTCCTGTGTGTTCAGCACTTTTAACGCTGAGGCAGTATTTTGTTACGAAGGATGCAAATTCTGAAAGTAGAATTTGGAAGGTGAAAGCAGAAGAACAGAACAACTATAAGGTGACTTTTTGGGCCATTATTCTATCTTGGAACGTAAATACATTTTGCCAACAAACTACAAAATGCTAGATATGCTGCTGCTCTTTTTGATGTGAAAATATATCTGCCACATAACTCTTTACTGTGCTTCATGTATGTCTCTTCTTATTTCATGAATGTGAAAATAAGCAAGAAAAAAGAAAATAATGTAAAGGCAGGCTTATTTCTGGAACAAATGTTACATGCAGCTCTTAGTTTCTTCCCAGCTAAGACAGTACTTGTTTAATTGGAAGGAAAAACGTCATAACATGGCTAATCGGCTTTGTCTACTGAACTCTGTGCCAGGACTGTCAGGGCAGTGCTGCCTGTGGGGTGGCGTTTCCACTTTCTCATGGATTGAACCAACGTGACTCTAACATAAATAAAGACCAGGGAACAAGGTCCATCCCCTTCGCCACAGTTTACCCAAACCTCTTGCTGAAGGCAGTGAACTCTTGAAGAAGGTGGAGATCACAGGATGGTGGGGTGTGAGACCCTTGATCTGTCAAGGGCATGTTTACACTTGGAAATAGGCCCCGGATGTCCATGTGTGAATATGAGTTCCTTCCCTATTCTGCTTTATCCGCTTTTAAAAGATGGATACGTCTTTAGTGTTTCCTGAACTGTAAAATGCTAGTTCAGACAGATCAACAAACAAAAAAGCTGATGTGATCCAAGTTGGCATTAATGTCTCTTTGCCTGAGTTAGCCCATGCCTTGTGGGAGCTATAGTTCAGGGCTGGTAACCCTTGCAGCACAGCCTCCTCTCTAGTGGAACAGCTGTGCAGCATCAGTCTCATACTTTGTTTTGTGCTGATTTCCCTTGATCAGTTCTCTTGAGAGCTACTGGGTCCTACAGAAAGCTTTCAGAATTTGTCAAAACTGTTTTCCAACAAGGAAATGTTTTCCTTAACTTTTCTGGCCAATGCTATTTTCAGGATGGTAGGGACAGCACAACAGATCACTTAGGTGAAATGCTGAACAAGAAAGTGTGTTTAAATTACGGTGATGACTTTTTTACATGTAGCTTTCCCTAGCTTAAAGCTTATGTGTGAATGAATGATTAATCACAGATGCAAAAGAGATTTTGTGCTCTGACAGCACCTTTCCCAAAGGATGTTCTCGAAGCAGTCTGTACAGAATGAGTTCCCTCATAATCACCCCACATATTTAGCAGAGGAGATTGCCGAGGTGCAGAGATGCCACTCAAGCCTCTGCTGAAGTCTGCGGCAAGGATAAAACCCAGGTTCCCTGAATGCCAGAAGGTTCCTTTTCTTTGCTGGTTGCAGCAAAAGAGAGTAAAGCTGAAGGCAGAGCACAGGAAGAATGAATATGTTGTAAGATACACCTTTTGCATCTTTATGCTCCTCGGACCTCTTCACACTCAAGGGTGTAACCGTTTTGTGACTAAACTTGCAGGACAGCTATAAAAGCTTGGGTCTAACCAAGGCTAATTTTAAACCATCCCTCATTATCTCTGTCATTTGCAGGGTGAGTTTTAGAAGGTGGTATTTTTATTTGATAGAGGGAGCCGATACAGCTCTGTTGTCAACAACTTGCTTGGCCAGAATCAATTCATCATTATAATTACCTGCCTCAGGACTCCTTTTTTACTTGCTTTGCCTTTCTGGTTAAGTTACCTCAGCACAGCTTTAGAACATGCCTGCTGTTGATTTACTGTTGCTTGAGGCTAGACAAATCCTGCCTGACAGCAGTTCCTAAGCTTTGCCTGTAAAACCTGTACGGCAGCCAAACCACATGTCTGCACAAAGAAAACGGATGAACGTGCACAGAAATGGATAGGCTAGAAACTGCTGCTGGTCCTGCTCAGAATGGTGTCTAGAGGACACTCTTCTCTACTGCTATGGGAAGGGAGGAGGCTTACACATAGGACGACCACATGTCAAAAACCTCCAGCATCCTTAAAACTGCCGAAATGCACAGCTTGCTAAGCAGCTCTTTCTGCTGATGGAAGAAGGCAGGGTGGCCACTTAAGCCACTAGCACAGGTGTCACAAATCCGAGGAGAGATTCATCATTTTGGAAGTCAAAGCAAAGATTCTGAAAATCAAATGCTCAAGATTTCCCACTTTTGTTAATACTAAGGACTGTTTTCACTGATCCCTAGAGGAGGATGATGTGGAGGTCAGGCTGTTTCCTCAAAGGAGACAAGTGCTAAAGTGCTTCCCTTTAATTAGGCTTTTCTTCCACAAAAGCATTTGTAGACAGTTGCAGCTATAGCATTAAAAAACAGTTTTGCAGGATTAGGATGATAAAGAACAGAGTAAATTTTACCTCGGACTCCATCCTTACTAATAACCCTACAGTTCTCTGTCTACCATGGTTTCAATCCCAATGTGCTCTTCTTAGTGTAAAAATGAGCAATTCCAAGGGACTAAAGACACGGCTGCCCCTGATCAAAGCAGGAGACACTGCCATGAGGTTTGCCATCCAGCAAGCCTGCCACTAACACACAGGGAATACTGAGTCTCGGGACTCTTACGCTAAATCAATTTAAACTCAGGAAAGGATCACTTTAATCCTAAGTAACAAGAATTGGTTAGTGCTAAGCAGGTTGGTAGCTAGTTTGCTGAGGGTAAAATGCTTTATAAATGTGTGTGGTTTTAGTTTATCCTATAGTTGGCAGTGTAGCCGTTTGTTTTTAATGCAGCAGAGCTGACCTTTCATAGGTTGCAAGAAATTGAATGAAAGAAGTTAGAAGTCAGCCAAATAAATGGTCTTAATTTTCTAAAGAAGGTGACTTGAATTCAGAAAAATACACACTCAAACTTGCTGAAAAATTTTGAGGCAGAGAAGATGTCTGCTTTAGTGCCCCTGATTTTTGCATCTCAACAAGAAGTTTGGAGTTAACTGAAAGCTTTGTTTTAATCTCATTGTATCTAGGGTTTTAACACAGTCCCTGTAGCAACCAGGTTTCGGCAGAATGTCCTCTTGGTTTCAGTGGAGCTGGAGAGGGTGGGTGGAAGGAGAAGAGACTTTGCATGCAGTTGGAGAATTTTTTTTCCATTCAGGCTTACACTGTGCAGAATATAGAGACATTTGTATCGTGCTATGTAAACCATGCTGTCCTGTCAACAGGCTATTTACCAGGTGTCCACTACCTACCTTGGAAGGTATCTAAATGCTACTGTGGATAGGTAAACTACACTGCCCCGAAAAATATTTCACTATATCAAGTCTATAGGGAAAGGAGAAAAGGGGACAAAAGATGTGAGATCTCTTAAGAAAACCCACATAATTACTCCAACAAAGATCTTATCTCTACCTGTGCAGCAAGTGCAATTTTCTCATTTAATCTTCCTGTGCACCATACAAAGCGTAATTGTGGAAAAGCTGAGCAAACAAACCTCTTTATAACTTGGAATGATTTCACAGATCCTTTCTCTCTTGCTTAGAAGGAAAAAAATTCGTTTATTCTTATCAAGGCAAATGAAATTATAACAAGGAAATAAAAGCATTAGAAAATGTCTTCCAAAGGCCTGATATGAAAAAGGCTGAATTGGGGGTGAGGCAGGGGAAAACCCTGAAACAAACTGTCTTGCCAATCTAAATTAGGAGATGAAAGTTTAAACCCATCAGGAACTTCCTGATGGAAACATCATCTGCTCACATAACTTCGACATAAATACTGTGCTTCAAGCTTTAAAGGTAAAGAGGATGCGAAGAGCTGGAGCTGTTCAGCTGGGACTGGAGGGACTGTAGGAACTTCTTTTTGGCTTTGCAATAAGGTGTCTGGAAGGCCAGGAGGATCTCCTTCCTCCCCTGGGTACCTTTCCCAACTTTTTTCAGACGCCAAGGCACTGTCTGCCACCAGGGTACCTGGCAGGTACCCTGTCAAGGTAAAAATGAGGGAGTGACAAGAGACACGGAGAGCCTGAGAGGGACAGCAGGGATAAGGGGGGACCAGAAAAAGCAATGCCTCTCACTGGAGCTTTGGGTGCCTTCAGCTGCTGCAGGAGTGCCTGCATCATGGAGCTGTTGCAGCTTCCACTTTCAATCAAGAAATACACATGTATATAAACATCAAGTGCACCCTTATATACTTTAGGCTCAGTATTAAAACATCCCTTATTATCATTGTCCTCTTGCTTCCTCACTCTTCCAACTATGGCCCTTGTTTCATCAAGCAATGCTTTTTCTTTGTAGTTTAGACTCATTGGGACTTCTCCAGCAAGGCAGTACATAATTGTTAATTAAACAAAAATTACTTGGGGAGATGATGTAACTGTTCATTAATTTGTGGGAGAGTTAATCTTGCCACAGCAGCTCTCTTTGGAGCATATAATGCAAGAGTGCCATAGACCAGATGTGCTTCAGCATCCCTGGATTGTCTGTGAGGACACAAGATCACATAACTTCCCCTCACCTTTAGCAGCTGTGGTAGCACAGCTCCAAAATGCTCTACTGGGTATCTCAGTTGCGGATTAAGCAAGCCATTAAGACCTGGGCCTTTCTTTTCCTCCCACAGCAGTAAAGTTACTGCTGTAACTTTATACAGTGTATATATACATATATTTCTCCTTCCTGTATCTTAAGATCATAGACTATCACTAGACATTAACCACTCCACCAGCGGTCAGCACAAGTGACCTCCTTTGGAGCTATGACATCAAAGCAAATGCACACACCTTGTTAGCCAGAGGTGGACCGTCAACACTTCTCTGCATGGAGGGTGGCACCTGGTAAATATCTTGTCCCACTAGACCATGTCCAGTGGGTATTTGGTAAATTCCCTGATTCAGATGGGAAGGTGGCACCTGATAGACAGGGTCCCGTGCTGAGGCGTGCGAGCTTGGCACTTGGTAGATCTTTTGTGCGTTGAAGGATTGATGCATCAATACTGAGTTGGACACATCCTGGCCAGAAGGGCTGTCCTGTACCACTGGACCTATCAGGAGTTTCACACGATTGCCTGGAACGATGCCTTGCCGGCCGTGTAAGGAGCAGAGCCACCATCCTTCAAGACCTTCAGTGTTCTGTTCTATCACCGTCAAAATGTCTCCTTTGCGGAAGGCCAACTCTTCTGCGCATTCGGGGATATTATCGTACAGGGCTCTTGCCATAAGATTCTGGGGAGAAAGGAGGGTGAGAAAAACAAATGAACAAACAAACTACAATTTTTCTAAAACTTAAGCATATTCTAGGTGGAACTGAATTTGAAAAAGGAGCATGCAGGAAATCAAAATAATATTTAAAATAATGCAGCACAGGATTCTTCTGTCCCAGTTTGGAGAAATGAAAGGCTAATGCAGCAACACTGCTAGCGAGAACCTTTCCAGTAATACTAGGTCAGACAGAAGCTCTTTATATGGTCTTTTCACTTTGAACAGATCTTGAACAGTCAGGAGAGTTCTGCTACTCCTGTGAGTGGGGGCTCGTACCTTCACCTCTTGACGTTGATTTCCCTAGAAACATGCCTGCGTACTGCTATAGCAAGTTAACTGATAGTTAAAGGAAAACTTGAACAAGACTCTAAAGGATACAATACAGAGCAGTTGTTTCCAAGCATTTTCACATTTGTAGGATCCCAAGAGACTTTCCAGTAGAGGTGCAGATCCCATGAGTGTAAAGACAGTGGGCTGACTTTTTTTAGTTGCCACCTGCAGGCTCTTTATAGTCAAGAATCTGTGGACAATCTGAGAAAACCTGGCCTAAAATACAAGCTGACAAAATGTCATGGTTTCTTAACTATGATGCTCATGTGTGTACACAGCTCTGTGCCCTCCCATGCTCCCTGATGCACAGTATAATATAGCACTAGGTGAAAAGCTGCTTCCCCTCCCTGCTCCCCCAAAGCCCAATACTACCACAAAAAAACCAAACCAACCAAACAAAAAAAACCCACCCAAAGGATAAGGTTCCTCAGAGTCCACTTTCTGCAGAAAGATCTTGAAGATAGCTTTACTTAAAATAATGTGTCCAGTGACCCCAACTGGAGTCATGCCTTTGCTATTGGGAAAGCTGTACCAATCTACGTGGGCCTGTCCTTCTGTCAAGAGTGTTAGAATTTACGTACCAAACATTACCATAGAGTGCATCTATATGTAACTTGGGAGGAGTCTAAGGACAGCCAAAGAGTGTCTTTGACTTGAGTCAACACAGAGTTAGCATTCGCATATGTGTTTTACTTGATTATGTCAAGTGAAGCCAGTACTGTTAATATAGGGAACTTCATAAGGACTTCTCCCAGGCATTTGCCTAGCATTTCAGGCATTTCAGTGGCAACAACTGTTCCACACCTGCCTTGCTTTTTGGTGAAGGCAGTCAGCAGAGGTTATAAACTAATTGTAAGCACTTGGGAAAAACCAGAGGGAACCCTGGATCTGGAATGTTCTAGCTAAAGTATTTGGATGCAGTACACAAACTGAAATGGTGCTAATCCATCGTAAGATAGGATATGCAGCTGCCTTGAAGATTTATCTTCCCTCTGTTAAAGGGACAGTGTCAAGTACAGTTTAGTGGTTTTATCTGTCATATTTATCCTCTTTCTTGGACATATCAAAGCTCTTTTTTTTTATCCCCCACTTGTTATATCTTTTCCCATGGGGACGCACTGATGTTTTCCTATCATCTCTGTGCTTCGTCAAGACAGCAGGATTCCGTTTGACGTTGCTCAGTTCAACTCTTCCAAGTGTAGCATACGACCGTGGTTGTATGAAGGGCTGACCGGTGGATGGAGATAAAGGGAAGCTCAGATGTCACATAAAAGGTGGATGAATATGCTTTTCCCAAGATATGGTGTTGAAACGGGATGCGTGATATCAGTTTTCTCTTCTCTGAATGGGAGATCAGTTTTCAAATGTATGAGAAACAGTGGCTTTGCCTTTCATCAGTATCATTAGTGAGGTCAGTATAAATTAAGCTTTGGCTTGGAAAGGCAGGACTGCCATTTTGAACTCCCATGTAAACAGCAGCACTGGGGCTCACCATTCCCTCTGCTCATCAGTCAACACCACCAAGAAATGTGAGTGGAGATAAAGCAGGGAGCAATCTGGTCCATGGCTTGGCAGAACTGTGAAACTATTCTGTAGCATGGCCAAAACCAGTGGTCTCTTTTTGAACACTACATCTGTGCCCTTGCTGTGTTGACCTGGCTGCTCAGCTGAGCCCAAGGAGCTCAGAAAAGAAAAGCTCCTGTCTAGTCTGAATAATCAAGTTGATATCTCTTCACATTTCTTTCTCATGCATCTTTCACTGGAGAAATCTACTAACGTGACTAGCTCAGCCTATGCAACTGACTATTTAAAGGAGGCTTCTGTAGAGGATGTTGTTTAAAGGAGGAAGAGGATTATGTCAGGGGGAGGGGTCACAAAGCGAGCAGGCTAAACTGATGATAAAAGCTTATTCTTCTATAGTTCATTGATTAAAGATATTTGAAAAGCCTGATTAGCTTCTACAGAAAAGCAATTCTCAGAACAAAGCTGGAGTAGTGTTAGAATTAGAGCAGATAAAAGTTCCCGTGTGAATTATTTTTCCAGTTGCTCATTATCTCTGTCCCAGTGACCTTCTCACCACCTGGCACGCAGCATATTAATACTTTCTGGATGTGCTTCAAGAACTTCTTTGCTGCAAACAGCTTCAGATTCTCGTTGTCAGTGTTAACTCAGGCACCAGTATGTGAATTATACTAATTGGCTGCCAGTTGCTTCACAGCAATTTCCCCAAGGCCTTTTAAATAACCCAGAGCCATGCCACCAGCATCAGTCACAGATGCAGCAGTGAAGCAGGCAAAATATTTCTCCAAATAAGCATTGGGACCAGAAACACTAAGCCTGTTGCTTGTTGCCAGCAACAGAGGCACTGTTCCTGCCAAGCAAACCTGTGTTTTGAGCATTTCCCTGACTCCAATCTTACTTGACAGGATTTCTTCAGGAGCTTCAGGTACCGTGTCACCATTGCTTTCATTACTCAGCAGTCAGTTCTGAGAAAAATTAAATTGTCAGCACAGAAGGTCATGAGGAAAACTTTTGGAAAGCCACAGAGGTACCTTTAAGTCAAGTCCCTAGTTTTCCACGCAGAAAAAGAATTTCTGATCATAGAATCATTTAGGTTGGAACAGACCTTAAAGATCATTGAGTCCAACTGTAAACCTAACACTGCCAAGTCCACTACTAAATTGTGTCCCTAAGTGCCACATCTACACATTTTCTCAATACCTCCAGGAATGGTGAATAGACCACTTTAATGGGCAGCCTGTTCCAGAACCTGACAACCCTTTTAATGTTATCCTAATATTTTAAGTTTTCCTAATATCCAATTTAAACCTCTCCTGGCACAACTTGAGGCCATTTCCTCTCATCTTATCACTAGTTACTTGGGAAAAAGGGACCAACACCCACCTCACTAAAACTTCCTTTCAGGAGAGTGATAAGGTCTCCCCTCAGCCTCCTCTTTTCCAGGCTAAACAACGCCAGTTCCCTCAGCTGCTCCTCCAAAGACCCGTGCTTCAGACTCACCAGTTTCACTGCCCTTCTCTGGACAGGCTCCAGTGCCTAAATGTTCTTCTTGTATAAGGGGCCCAAAATTGAACACAGGATTTGAGATGTGGCCTCAACAGTGCAAAGTACAGGGGGACAATCACTTCCCTAGTCCTCCTGGCCACACCATTTTTAATACACCCCAGGATGCCATTGGCCTTTTTGGCTAACTGGGCCCACCGCCGGCTCATGTTCAGCCAGATGTTGACCAACACCCCAGGTCCTTTTCTGTCTGGCAGCTTTCCAGCCACTCATCTCCATGCCTGTAGCATTGCAAGGGGGTGTAGTGACCCAAGTGCAGGACCTGGCACTTGGCCTTGCTGAACCTTATAGAAAGAGATCAAAGATATCTCTCAAATCTTGTGGGCTTTATCTCAATTGATTTGACAAATTCTGGATACTGTGGGCATCACACCTTGCACTTCACAGCACTCCCTCTTATTGGTCTCATGAGCTCGGTTATCTGGAATTAACTGGAATTTGTCTTACAGACATGGATCTGTCAGTCATCTCTCTGAGAAACAGGTACCAAATAAGCACTAACATCTGATATGAGAAGGCAAAGGCACAGCACTGACCTTTTTGTAATACAAAGTGCTACAAACCACTCAGCTCTTTCCTAAACAAATTGGAAATAGAGAAAGGACTGATCAGAAATTTACCTTGGAGCTTGTTTTGGCAACTGGCAAGTTGCACAGAAGTCTTTTTGTCTTTCTAATCCAAGGGGGAAAAGAAGGAGGGCAAGAGATTCAGAACTACAAATTCAAGTTCTGTAATGGCAGGGGAGAAATTATCTCATCCTAGATAGGGAAAAATTTTGGTTTGCCATAGGAATCTGTGCTTCATGCACATACTGGCAGCTACCACCTTCAGTCAATAAGATTTAGGATGGAAGTCTCTGTTGCTCTCCTTTGGTCCAGTTAAATTAACTACCTGATAGGTGCAGTGGAGCTCTCCTCAAAATCTGAAGGTACTGTGGTCTGTAAACAGCTCCATTCTCCTGAGCCTTTTGTCTTACAGCAGCCATACTTCAATTAATGAGTACATACTAAAACTAATGGTTAACTGGAAAAATTAAGTTCAGCTTTTGTATCTTCAAGCCACTCTAGCAATACCGGGATGTTTGGAAGTTGAAGCCAGGGTTAGGCACCCACTGTGTTATTATTCTGTATAGGCAAAACAAAAAACCCCACATTTGCTCTTAAGAAGCTTAATCCTCTTAATCTTGGATTCTTGAGTGCAGTAGAAAGCATCTTCTGTAAAATCACTAAAAAAAGGAAGTTTTTCAGTCTTCTTTTAAGTGCTGTCCCAGGTCAAAGTGAAAGGAAGCCTGACCCTCATGACTGCTGCCTGGGGATTTTAGCTGGAACGTGTTGCAGGAAGGGGCTCAGACGACTCTGTTGATGCCTTGTGTCAGAAACTCTTGTCTAAAAGAACTGAAACTGAAATGGATACTCTCCAGATTAAATGCAGATTACAGTGCCTGTGGCCCCACCTTTCTATATTGGTTGAGACAGAAGTAAAGCTTTCAAGCTCTATCTAGGTAAAGTGAACCTGGGATTTGAAATGGCTATTGCATTATTTTG